TTCGAACCTTTTAAAGTAATCTTCAAAAGCTTCCGAAGTTGAATGAATATCAAACTTTTCCATTACAAGCTCCATCGCAACGCCAATATAATGTTTTGAATTATTTGAATTATAGCACGAACTAAGAGTCCCAAAAATAATGCAATTGAATTAAGAAGTGAGACACAAGCACAAACGAATGTTTTGTATTTGGAATTCGAAATCGAGCATTCAACAAGTACAAAGGTATTATTAGTTCGTTCAAACACCACATCCGCCACAGCTTAAATAGAAGTATAAGTGTTTGTAATCGGTTGTACGTCTTCTTGTTAAGTTCATCCTGAGTCCGTCCGACATTGTATTGGATAAAAACTTTGTAGTATCTAGAAAGTGCTCATTAGTATTGGAATTAACAAACGAAATCGGAACAGACTCACCTGGAATTGTATACAACCATCATGTCGGTTTTGTAATGAAATTATTAATATCTAGAATTCGAACCATAGATTTTTCAACACTATCCTCCCCCACGAAATAATGTTGGATCTTTATATCCCCAAGTTATGAATAATGTGGCTTCATTTAAAACATATTTCTCACATTGTTTAGAGTAAACACTAGAACTGTTTTTGTGATAAGGGTAAACAGCAGTTGATATGAAATCATCCGAAATGTAATCAAACTCGAGGTCACTTAGTACTCGTGCTTCGCATTGAGCAGGTTCTTCACAAGGATCAAGTGCATTATGAGGATAGATAATATATGATATGACATCAGGATTTGATTCTTCTGAAATATTTTCATGAAATTCATTAGGACTGTCATTGCAGACTGTAGGATCGTTAGAAAAATCAGCATCTATCCAAACCACATCAGGTTTTCGATCATGATTAGGTTCATTCAACATATTTTCCTCAGAATTGCAAGTAATTTCATTAGAAATATGTGAATCATTAGGGAAAGTCATACCTCGTACAATAGCATGAGAATTCTGATAAATCGGTTGATTAGGAACTGTTGTCTCACAAGAATTCTGGATTTCATTTAACTCTGAACTGCCATATGACTCTGCACTGTCTTTTGAAATCGTTGATAAAGATAAATGATCACTATAAATAATCAGCTTAATAGAATCAGAATTACATGAATTAATATTAGTTGCAGCGAGATGAAAAGTAGTATTACAGACTGACTGAATATGTCCAATATCACCACATTTAAAGCACTTAGAATTACGAAATTGACATGAATTCAAAGAGTGGAACTTGCAACAGGACAAACACTGACTAAACTTGTGCCCATCTTCGTGAAATGCATTGCATCTCCTCAATGAATTGTCTGCATAATCTTGAGTATGAACTGGGTTGGAATGACGTAATGTAGTGGAATTTTTTATATCCTCATGAATCATTTTACGAGATCTATCTCCTTTACCGCATTCGAAACTTGTATACTGAACATAGTCTAGCAGCAGTTCGTTGAGAGCTGTATAAGGAGGCGAAATGGGCTTTTTCAGCATAGCTAGAGTTCTTAATAAGCTGTATGCTTCTTTTCCAATGAATGTGAGGAAATGTGCCACAATATTAACATCCTCATCATCTTCCTTGCTCATAGCCCAGATTTCGAACCTTTTAAAGTAATCTTCAAAAGCTTCCGAAGTTGAATGAATATCAAACTTTTCCATTACAAGCTCCATCGCAACGCCAATATAATGTTTTGAATTATTTGAATTATAGCACGAACTAAGAGTCCCAAAAATAATGCAATTGAATTAAGAAGTGAGACACAAGCACAAACGAATGTTTTGTATTTGGAATTCGAAATCGAGCATTCAACAAGTACAAAGGTATTATTAGTTCGTTCAAACACCACATCCGCCACAGCTTAAATAGAAGTATAAGTGTTTGTAATCGGTTGTACGTCTTCTTGTTAAGTTCATCCTGAGTCCGTCCGACATTGTATTGGATAAAAACTTTGTAGTATCTAGAAAGTGCTCATTAGTATTGGAATTAACAAACGAAATCGGAACAGACTCACCTGGAATTGTATACAACCATCATGTCGGTTTTGTAATGAAATTATTAATATCTAGAATTCGAACCATAGATTTTTCAACACTATCCTCCCCCACGAAATAATGTTGGATCTTTATATCCCCAAGTTATGAATAATGTGGCTTCATTTAAAACATATTTCTCACATTGTTTAGAGTAAACACTAGAACTGTTTTTGTGATAAGGGTAAACAGCAGTTGATATGAAATCATCCGAAATGTAATCAAACTCGAGGTCACTTAGTACTCGTGCTTCGCATTGAGCAGGTTCTTCACAAGGATCAAGTGCATTATGAGGATAGATAATATATGATATGACATCAGGATTTGATTCTTCTGAAATATTTTCATGAAATTCATTAGGACTGTCATTGCAGACTGTAGGATCGTTAGAAAAATCAGCATCTATCCAAACCACATCAGGTTTTCGATCATGATTAGGTTCATTCAACATATTTTCCTCAGAATTGCAAGTAATTTCATTAGAAATATGTGAATCATTAGGGAAAGTCATACCTCGTACAATAGCATGAGAATTCTGATAAATCGGTTGATTAGGAACTGTTGTCTCACAAGAATTCTGGATTTCATTTAACTCTGAACTGCCATATGACTCTGCACTGTCTTTTGAAATCGTTGATAAAGATAAATGATCACTATAAATAATCAGCTTAATAGAATCAGAATTACATGAATTAATATTAGTTGCAGCGAGATGAAAAGTAGTATTACAGACTGACTGAATATGTCCAATATCACCACATTTAAAGCACTTAGAATTACGAAATTGACATGAATTCAAAGAGTGGAACTTGCAACAGGACAAACACTGACTAAACTTGTGCCCATCTTCGTGAAATGCATTGCATCTCCTCAATGAATTGTCTGCATAATCTTGAGTATGAACTGGGTTGGAATGACGTAATGTAGTGGAATTTTTTATATCCTCATGAATCATTTTACGAGATCTATCTCCTTTACCGCATTCGAAACTTGTATACTGAACATAGTCTAGCAGCAGTTCGTTGAGAGCTGTATAAGGAGGCGAAATGGGCTTTTTCAGCATAGCTAGAGTTCTTAATAAGCTGTATGCTTCTTTTCCAATGAATGTGAGGAAATGTGCCACAATATTAACATCCTCATCATCTTCCTTGCTCATAGCCCAGATTTCGAACCTTTTAAAGTAATCTTCAAAAGCTTCCGAAGTTGAATGAATATCAAACTTTTCCATTACAAGCTCCATCGCAACGCCAATATAATGTTTTGAATTATTTGAATTATAGCACGAACTAAGAGTCCCAAAAATAACGCAATTGAATTAAGAAGTGAGACACAAGCACAAACGAATGTTTTGTATTTGGAATTCGAAATCGAGCATTCAACAAGTACAAAGGTATTATTAGTTCGTTCAAACACCACATACTCCTTTTGTGTATGTTCTTTCCAGTCAGGATAGAATAGCGTTCATTTGTTGTGACTGATTTGATTGACTGAACAATTATTGGTTGAATAGCCGGGTGGTAATATTTGTTTAGGACTGTAGAATTATGGTCTACTATGATATTAGTACTGCTCTAATAATAGACCTAATCCTAAATTTGTAGATTTGTCATGATATAACTGCCTAATCTATAAGATCTTACGTGGAAGTCACACCATGGACTACACCAACTCACTGTATTGTATCAATTACCAATACATGATGTAGAACAAGGTTAGGCTAGAGAAAGAACAATATATTTAATATGAATAGAAGATGTAAGGTAACATTCAGCAGAGACCACGCCTGCATGGCCGAGCCATGCCACTCGATCAACTCCAGTCCATTCCATTCATTGTTCGCGCCTTCTCCATTGTTAGGTATTTCTCCGTGTTAAATATTGAATATCTATTTTCTGAGTAGTCTTGTGTTCAGCTTTGAAGACTGTGTGGTTATGGTCCAATGCCATTACAGAACCGCTATTTACCCGATTACTTGTTTTGATTTTGACGGGCAAGGGCGCGTGTCTAATCTACCTGAGAGTCTATTCAGCATTCCAGACCGTAGTTTGGATTCTACAGTTCTCACTTTCTATCATCACAAGGTGCTTTATTTGAAATGCTCCCTCGACCGAAATGACTACAGCCTTCTTAGTGGGTAGCTTTAGGTGGAGACATGACGTGTACGTACTCACACAGTTGTAGTGGTGAATATATCCCCTAATAAATAGTTCTGTAATTCTACGACACTGATGTTGACCTAATCTAACTTACTGAACACACCCTAGCTGAAGCCACACCAGACCACGAGTTGGTACATCATGCTACGCATCCCTTGGAACTACTAGCCAGCTCACATCAAACGCTTCTCGACAAATCGATATCTTTTCGAATATATCATCAAACCCCTTCATTTCCAACTTCCCATTTGGCTGGGTTAGTATATTTCAAACCTCAAATGCTTATGGCGCCTTTATACTGATTATTATTTCCTCCTTTAACCAGATGTGCTTGATGCATATCTCCTAATTTACCACGGTTATCATTATCGTACGTCAGTAAATACTTCCTATCTCTCCTGCTATCATCTCCGTTCCTTCTTTATTCTTTGAATTTCGTCTTTGCAAACCATCTGCTCCACTGTTTAATTAACGTGTTTATTTGTTTCTTTCTTGAAACTACTGTCTTTTTAAGCACTCGAATTATCATTACATTATTTTCACATTACAGCCGATCAAACTGCTGTCCGGTGTTGTGATAGCTGCTGGTATCCGGGTCCCTAACGGATAACAAAAAGCAAGCTCAAAGAATTTAACCGGTTTACTCAAGCTCATGACAAAGAGAAAACGACATTTTCTTAGGAACAAAGGATATTGTCACACCATTACTTACTACTATTTTTCTTATGTTTTTGTTTAACAACTCCAAGTTACTTACTGGAAGCATTGTTAATCCACTGTAACTAGATACGGAGGTTCATTGAGAGAAGGTTTTTCTGTTCCGTCCAGAACCATTTGAACCATTAAACAGTTTGAATTTGATTTCAGGGTTAAATGAAGGCGTTTACTTGACTTTGAAGGACACATGTGGTTCAAATGAGCAGAGTTTTGCGGTTGGATGGAGATCTATTAAGAGCAACCGTAAACGAGTTGTCAAGAGTTACTGAACTTAGAGGAATACCAGTACTTGAGAATAAATATTTGTCATCCTCGACTTAGTTTTCTAGGTTTACTGAGCTTAATCGTATAATCAAAGGTTTTCGTACTCAAGAAATGACAGTTTTGTCAGGAAATACTGGTGTTGGTAAAACGACTTTCATGTGCGAGTACTCGCTTGATTTGGCTGAACAGGGAGTTCCGACACTTTGGGGTAGTTTTGAAATGCCTCTGCGGAAAGTGTGTAAGACACTAGTCCAACAGTTCGCAGGGTAATTTGACAATTCTTTTTTATTAAGGCTAATTCAGTGAGCCACTAGATCCTCCTATGCCCAGCAGAATCGCTGAATGGGCACGTATGTTTAGCGAAAACATTCCTATATATTTTATGAACTTACATGGGGCTCAAAGTTTGACAGAAGTATTAAAGGTGATTGATATTGTGACGTTATATTCTTGTGTTCTTCTGTATGTTTACTTGATTTAGTTCTTCGTAGTTAATTTTAACTTGTTATGTTTCTGGTTAAGTGCATCACGAACATAAATTGACAGCCAATTATTGTGGTTTAAAGAGCGATAACTACAAATTAATTCTTGGCTCTGATTATATTTATTAGCGATTCAGGCTCATCAAGACCGATTTCTACATACTCATTAGTTTTAGGTCATACTGCACTTGCCTTAGAAAAAAAAACGTCAGCAGTACATGTTAGGCATAGTCCAATACACCCCTATACTCGATTACGGGGTCGTGAAAATGGTCACTTAAGTCACAAACTATTAGTATAAGTCGAATGGGTTGCACTAATTATTATTAGTTAATGAATGTATACTTTAAATGATTAGGCTTAAAATCGACTATTCATTTCAGTTATAAAGAACGCTGTCAATTACATATCCACATACCCAAGTTTCCACTGCTTATTACAGCTAGGTCAAACTAACAAAATGCATAGCAAGCCTAAGTAGTAATAGCATCTAAGATGATTTAAAAAATACTAAACGTAAACAAATTGGATTGGGAACAATGAGTGAGTGGTAGAGTCTTAAGTAATTGAAAGATGAAGAATAGATGCATTCGCTCAACTGTAACCTATTTGAAAGCATACGAATGTCATCTACCTCCAAACGTTATTTAAAAGTAATGAAGCAAAGCGATTTATTGAATGTAAATGTGATCTTGTCTAACTTACCCTTTATCACACCCATAAGTTGTTGAGGATTAAGATGTGATAAACATTAAGTGCGATTTCTGTCTAGATTTATTTAAATAGTAGATTTAGACTCAAAATTATGTCAGGTGGTGTAAACATACTAAGGTCGTATGAATAATATTCTTAATGCTAATGAATTTATTAAAAGGTTTTGTACTTCCATATCTGAGTACAAATTTTCTGGATATCCACGCTATTATCTACGGATTTTTGTAGTTAGCAGTTTTTAATTGCCTGTTGTAAATCAAACAACAATACTTCTAAATCACCTACTAAAATATCACTCAATATATAACTTAGTGTAGTATTTTATACGATAAAAACTTAGTCTCATAGTACACTTGATCCAACTAATTATCCCACTAGAAAGAAGTAGTTAGATGTACACTTATTTCACTTGTGAGATCATAACTTTGACCGCATTTAGTCACGCTATTGTACACTCACATATGCACGTGTCTGATACTCGTTCTGACTAGGGCGGGATGAATAAACTCATTTACCAGGTGCTTAGATATGAGGCACACTCTACGTATCTAGGATAATAATGCTACTTGGTTGCCTAAATCAAAGTAGGGGAGCAGTGTTCGAATCTGCAACTAGATGGTGTAAAATCAAACTCCATAACCACTAAGGCACCAATCATTCTATGTAACTTTCAAAGTCCATTCAAATTAAGGTGTGAAACCTGTTGATGTCTAGATATCGAAATCCTGATTTTGACTTTAGTGATTTAAAGAGAATAGAAATCCATTATAAAGACTGAATGCATAGAAACCTACGTGTGGATGTAACAAGTAAACCTCTTGTAATTGACTCTATAAGAGCTGTTGAACTGATAAGTACACAATGAGTTGGTGGAGCTAAACTGTTTATTTTTATTCAGTAGAATCAATATTGGTTAACTAAGGAACAACAGAACTGATTTTACAGCAATGAATTTTCTCGACAAATTCCCAAGATGACGTTTCTTAGCTTTACTGACCGTCACCTTTAAACTGCAGTTTCAAGAACAGGAGTTTTTGTTATTGTAGGTTGAGGTGGTTAGGATATGTGTTCCATGTGCCCAACCACCACCTACCTTGACATACGATGATAGTTGGTTTAGGAATAAGTGCATCCACTTTTTGTCTCCCTTTTGATCCTTGGTTCTCTAATTGTCTTTGGACTTTTAAAATTCTTTTCATCCCAAGAATCAACATTTTATTGTCGAATTATACCTTTTAAGCCTTATATTTTCTATCACTGTTACTAATACTTTTACTACTTATTCACCTCTGACATCTCGCTATGTAGGAGTGATATTTCGATTTGAACTGATGCACGTATGTCAGTCTACACGTTGCGTTTGAACTGACTAATTGGTGCTGTTGACATTTCCATCTTTGTTTTTACTTTAAATATATGTTTTGTCATTAAATTTGGTTTCAGTCTCACATCCAGGTTTCGTCTCAGCAACACACTGCAAGTGATTTAGCGTATGTACTGGTTTATTAGTTTGATATTTTCCATTCGTTTATATTAGCTACGTTGTGTAGCTTGAGTTGACCGCTTTAGATATGAATTTCACTTTGCTATTATTTCTAAAACTATTTGTTTTACTAACGCGTAGTGTAGATAAGTGTCTGGAGAAATTGAACAAGTTAGAAATGATGAGATTAGCAAAATAAATGAATAAAACTGGGGAAATAATGTAAAGAAACGCTATTGAAATTAATCATATAGCATGATTATTAAGAGTAAGAAAATTGAGGATTATGACGGTTTTTTTAGCATCTCATGGTAATGCGATTATTTCTTGGTCAATTAAACAACATACTACTTCAAGTAGACTGATAATACACTTAATTTTTGATGCAATACAACTATTAAATGAAATATCAAAACTCATCTTAAAACAAAATTTATTATATATTAGAAAGGAGTAACAAGTTAAATTCTCAAAATATAAGTTCAAATGAAGCAGTAAAGTTATTGAGTAAGATAATATACAAGAGAGAACTATATGTACCGAACAGTAGCTTAAACATAGAGTAGTTCTAGATTGACGAAGTGAGTTTAAATATGTAGGCAAGCGAAAATAAAGCATAATGTCCATCAAAATGTGGTTATCTAAAACTGAATATCATTAACTACTAATTCCTCTTGTGTATAAGAGTTTATTTCAAAAAAATTTATAATACGTTTGCCAAGAATAATTTTCTCCATTGACTCAAAAAATGTTTTTGGCAACCTATGCTTGAATCTGATATAATACTATAAGTAAACCACTATTCAGAGCATGTGTTTTTTCGCTGCTATAGTGTTCTTTTCAACAGCACTATCATTTATTTTTAATTCTGAGTTATGTGCAGCTTAATTCACTTTTAAAGAGAGCAAGAACGAAGATTGGTGCAGAATAATATATGAATTTATTTCGTTAGGTTTTCATCAGCTGATTACAAACCATAGTATTACAGATATTGACGTACTTATAAATACGAGGTTAATTAGAGATGAATATGTGTATCATGATGTAACGACGATTCCGACAGAGTTAATGTCATAAAAATTTTTGTTTCAGATAAATAAAGTTTGGAAGTGAAAGTTCTAGAACATTGAAATAGCGACTAAAACTCATGAAGTTAACAAACATTAGATGATTGTGTAACGAAGCAACTAAAAACAGATTAATTGTAATAGAGAAGGATATGGATTGAAGAATAATGACAATGATGTAATCGAACTTCAGAAAGAGTTGAAATGACGAATGACGTAATAAATAGAAAACGGGTGTAATGTTACCAGGGGAAAGAAAGATTTATTGCTGCCTCTTTTTGGATACATAGATCTAGTTCTAGACGTTTGATCTCTATCGCTTCAGCAAATTTCAAAAAGCATTTGGAAATCCCCAATCTTACTGTTCTTTTATTCTCATACGTTGCGTAGTCTGATAGTTGATTTCAATAACATAGTGCTTGTATTTCTCATTATTCAGCATTTTAAAACTTTCCATTTAGACACCTAAAAATTATCAACTAGTTTCTGTTACAATCTATTCTACTTTCGTTTCCATATTTTTCTAATATTACTGGCTATTACTCACTACTGATTATTATTCGATTATTTTTCGAAATTATGTTGTTTTGTTGAACTTAATCGAATGAAATTTGTAATTTTAAACTGGTTACCGTTAAATTATGAAGTAAAATAAATTTAATCAGCTAATCTTGTTATTCTTAGTTTGTTTAAACCTACCAGTAGAATTCAAAATACAAAATGCTGATAGTTCTGTTTTTTGAGAGACAGATTTACAAGTTTATAGAATTCAAAAAAGCTTGTTACGTCACGAGATACAGTGATACATATACTGTTTTTAGGCTTGTTCTTTTTGTCGTTTCTTTGTAGAAGGGGAGTGTCTTCTTTGAAGTTCTTTTAATATTCGAAATAATAGTTTCACAAAAATTAAGCATCGAGTATATATATATATATATATATATATATATATATATATATAATACACTATGTACGAGATTATTATATTGATTTCCGACATATGGAGTAGTAATTTGACGGGATGTAGTGTTGAGTAAAGGCGATGTTATTCCGTTCTTTTCATAATGAAATAACCAAAGTGTGTGGTTTAAAGTCCTATTCATCAACTTTCGTTAAGTGAGTTGCACTATATTGTATAGTGATACGCCATATAATTCAAATGATATAGCACAATAAACCAAAGATCCATTTATATCTTTTTTTGTTAGAGGTGTTAGGAAGTTACACAATCCTGGATTGCTATCATTTGGATCATGATTTAGTTTTACACCCTTCATACATCATTGTGGCTTTTAACTGTTCACATTTCCTTGTAGAATTGAAAATTTTCAATTTCATGTATTATTATCATGAATTAGTTTTGCCTACAAATATCCATCTTCGTACCGTTAGTGGATATATACTGAGTTAGATTAACTGTCAACTTTGGACCAATGTTATTATGATTAAAATACTTGTTTAGTTGTGCAATATCACTTTATATGTTGAAGTAATAATGCATAACAGAAAAGCACCTGACTATGATCCATACATTTGCTTGAACTGTTTGGAATCTGCCTTGTGAATGTCTGTAACTAGCCATCATTTTCAGTATGGGATTGTGAAGATTGTTGAATTTCATTTAAATCACGAGACGATCTAAGTTAAACAACCATTGAAAACTTGGAAGTACCGGACACTTGTGGTCAATAGAGCCAATATGTGTCAAGTATGAGAAAGATACTCAACAGAGACAACGGAAAATGGTCGCCCAATGTCGTGGACTGAAGTTAGACTTGTACATCATTGGATCCCGGCTCAGTGGTCTATTGGTTAGATATTCGCCCACAAGACTGAAGGTTTTGGGTTCTACGTTCGTTTGCAACATCGTGGATGTGCACTGTTCTGGAGACCCGTAATAGGGTGAAACGACCACCCAGTCCTTGCAAGATTTTTGTGGCTGTGTAACTTAGATCGGTTCGTGATCTCAATAATCCTCAACTATCATTTTTCAACGGTAAAATTAAGAACATTAATTAGTTAATTGAAGCAAGCGTATATTTAGATATACAGGCAATATTACCAAAGTAAGATTGTTTGTCCAGAAAAAATTCGAAAGAAGTGAAGCAATTTGTTTAAATAGTAGTAACCTATGGTCCTCCTAAAAACTGAGAATCTAATGTTTCAGTTTAGATTAGTCTATAAGTACCCGCTCCGGAAAAATGCTTTCAACCACCTGTATAAATAAATGTCATGTTATCTAGTACTTAGAGCTGATGAAATTTCACCGATCAGGCTGGATTGTGATCGAATAGGTCAATATCAACCTAAATAACTCGGTGATTAAGTTTCTAGTTGCAGCACTCCATGATGCCAGACAAAATCCCATGAGAAAAATCAGTTTCCCTAAAAACAACAAGTATCCTATATTGGTTGGTCTAAGCTATCATAACCTGGGTTGAGGGCTTCCACTTAGTTACATCAAACTACAGCATACTTAAGCAAGGCATGCATTTGGTGCATATGTATTGTTGTTCTTGAACGTCAAATATGGTCCCTATACGGATTATTCTTATATTCACGTATAACAAGCTTATGGTTTACATCAAATATTGATAAAATTTGTTCGTTTATTTGATTATTTCTTTTTTTTCTTTAATATTTATATGTAGACTATGGAGGTTGGTGTCAAAGATTCTGGCGTAGAACACATAGTTATCGATAATTTACAATTTTTACTAGGCGCCGGTGATGGTGCTTTCGTGGAACGTTTTCAGCGTCAAGACCACTATGTACAAGAATTACGTGCTTTTGCCACTGAAAAAGGTACACATGTTACAATCGTCGCTCATCCTCGAAAAGTAAATTCTTATTTTTTAATATAGTTTCACCTTTAAATAGGAAGAAACTGGTCGTCTACTTTCAATTAACAGTTTATATGGTGGTGGTAAAATTTCTCAAGAAGCAGATAATATCATGTTCTTGCAAGTAGACTCATCTACATCGATCCCTAAGAAATATTTACAGGTTGGTTTCTGTTTACATTTCACTAGTTATTATTTCTTTTTTGTTGATATTACCACCAAAATGATGTAATATTGACTTACTCAGTATACCGGTTTATATAGAGCTGGTTTCGAGCCAAACTTTTTTTTACAAGGACTAGTAATAATACTTGCCTGCTGAAACTGAGTTAGAAAGGACAGAATTCGGATCTGTTACCTACTAGTTGAATAGTAAGATTTAAGCACCACTACTACACACAGTTTATCTTCAGTACATTTTCTTTAGTATATTATATACTAGGACGAAACGGGAGTCCAGTGCTTCCAGTTTTTCCATGGTAGTCTAGCTTCAATTGACTCATGATTTCAACTAGTGAAATTTCCAAAATCACAAAACCCCTTCTGACAATATTTATAAAGTATTAATGAATAAATGTTGTAACTTGTCAAGAATTATAGAGTTTTTATTGTTTAAATGTAAATATTACTCTTACTACGTATATTCTCTGAATCAGTTGAAGTAGCTCTTCAGTAGCTTTCATTTTTTGAGTTTTCTTGTATGAAGTTTTGTTTTAAAGCAGATTGTAATTGTAGCTTATATTCATTCGTAAAGATTAATTCTCTCGTATCCAGTATAGTTATGAGTATAAGCTATTTTTACTATCCATGAAGCTTGACAATTTATTAATAAAAACTACTAAACACATTTACCGGTAAATAATCTACAGATTAACTAAAGTTATTGTAATTCACTAACCACTTACCGATTTATGCACTAGGATTTAGACTAAAAGTTTTTGTTGGGCTAGTGATACTACTCGTTCGATCAAACAGTAGATAGTGTAGTTTGGCTCAAAAAACCAGACCTAGTAGTTGGTGTGTAAAATTGTTGATCAGCCGTTTGTTGATTAATGCACTAAAATTCTCACCCATTATCTCGTAAGTTCGAATCCCTGTCCACCTGTTTCGGTATTAGGAATTGGATGTCACGAGGTTTTACTCAATTTGTGTCATTCAAAGCTGAGTGCATAAACATGTACTGATATGCTTCTATATATATATTTACGAAAGTTGGTTACAATCTGTAATCTATATCATTGATATTGACATTTGTATGCCGTAAATTTACAATATCTAGTTCAATAATTCTTGTTTCTCACTCGAATGAGTAATAAGTTAGTGAATTTTCAAATATATCATATAACAAAGTATTACTTCCAAAATTTTATCCATTGTGAGAGTAAACAGATTACAAGGATATCTTCTAATATAGAGGAATCAAAGTTTCACGATTCATAAAATATAATCTTGCATATGAATCTGGCAAAACATTAAAACTTTCCGAATATTTCGGTATAATTGTGAAGACTTCATTAAGTGTTTTAAAATGATTAGGCGAAAGTACTTTTTAAGTAAAATTTCAGTTGATTTTGGATTCAAATTATGTATAATTTTAGAATTGATATAATCTCTGGCCACCAAATCTACCCAGTACCAGAGTAATGGACTCAAATTTGACCCACATTGTTTTTATGAAGACTAGCTATGCTACTCACAGCTTTCCAAACCGAAATATGTGGTGGAGTGAGTTCAGAAACTACCAGTAATTCGGTTGAAAGCGGAGCACTTTGATTACTAAACTTTGGCTCTGAAACTCAATTTGTAGTCTTATATAATCTTCTATTTAATGTTCACTGCATCAATGATCATATAAATGTGACGTAGTTAGTTGTCCACTTATTAAAATCTGATAGCTATCTCATAGCTTATGATTCTTATTCATTTATTTTATATGTTAAACCGTGTGGTTCACTCGGTTGCGTTTATGATAATTGCTAATTACAAACTATTGAGATCCTTTGAATATGGTTAGGAACTAATACCAACTCGATGGTACGGCCACTAACAAAACGTTTCAACGATTATCATCAAATAATGGAACCTAAAATCAAGACAGGTGTATAGCAAAAGATTGATATTCAACAAAAACAGAAATTTGAAGACATCTTTTTGTATATAGGACGATAATATAACCGTGGGAAATATGGGAAAATTAGCAAACTAAAAGTGATAGTAGCCAATTAGAAAACAATCATACAGAAATACGAAATAATAAAAATATGCTCGTGGTTGTCATTACGGGAAAGAACTAGATAACTTGCAATCTTCCTAGCAATAAGATCCTACTTAATCTTTGAATTAATAAAGCTGAAAAGAAAGTTTATGGGGGAAATTGAGTGTAACGATGATTTGATTTAGGTTATTCAGTCATTTTCTTGCAGTATATTTAATTATCACCGTGAGTGTGGAGTCAGAAAGCAAAGGTAAACTACGAAATGACCGTTTTTAAACTGGTTAGAAAAAAGCTTTATTGTCCCAATTGTTGTTATATTTGTAATCAATAAAAAGTTGTGTTGTGTATATCCATTTGTAACCTATATTAACTTCTTCATAGATGACCTGTATCAGTCATATTGTTTAATAATTCATAGTAGACATGTATGCAAATTTGGTTGCGATCGATTTTTTTATTTCTCTGTTTTCTTTTCTGATTATTATCACTCAGTAATAATTAATTGGCTAATAAAAGTTAATAATCCTGTAAGTTTTTTGATGAACAGATGTAAAGGCAGGAATGTAGGACTCTCCCTGAAATATTTTATTTTCGGGTGATTACGTAACTAAACTGTTTAGAAGTAACAGATAACTGTGTTATTGTAATTACAGTTTTCTCAGTATGATTAGTTTCACACAGATTTGAACCCGAGACATTGAGAACCGACAGCTGGCAATATTGCGTTTTAAACAATTGGAGTTTATACTGTTAATTGGCACTTCTCAGTCATTATGATTAAGTTGTTCTTACTATATTCAACCTGTGTGAAAAACTACCTTGAAACTTTTCATATCTTTAATTTATAAACTCGAAATAATTTGTTTTTAGTTCAATATATTGTGTGTACTACATTTTACCTTCTGAATAAACCATGTTTCTATCATTCTATTATTGTTGTTCGATCAAATTTGCACAAATCACTCATATTTTACTTTGACCAATAGTGTTAGTCATTTAGTTTACAGATTTGGTCTAATGACATCTATTACATGTACAAAATGTGCACAAGTCAGGTGATCTGACATTTTAATGCACTCTATTGAATTTTGAATGGTTGTAGGTAATTACCAGTATGTATGAACCTAAATTTTAATTAGTTCAGAAACCTGCACTTAAGGAATTCTACCCATTATCCCATCCATCGCCACAGTTGGAAATGTTAGTTCAGTACCTTAGTTAACAGAAATGTCTTTTGGGTGGAATTTTTCTGTTATTTCTCAGTGCATATATATATATATATATATATATATATATATATATATATATATATAATTCAGATCATCTGTTAATGGGGTGCGATTAGCTAGGTAATACTTTTAATTACAAATGGATTTTTCGAGAAAAATTTATAAATATCGGTCACTGATAGTTGAGTTTTGATATGATTTTGGTATTCTTACTACAAACCTCTGAAACTTGAATTACAGTTCTTATTACATACGCTTACTACTAAGCTTCTTTAATAAAAAGGAAACATGTTGCAAGTCAGTTTGCGAAGTGTTAATGTCAGTTGTTTTAGTAGTAATTCTGTAATAACTATTACATTGCATTAAGAACAGTTTTTAAAATAGTTATCCAAAAAACGTTATGACAGCTCAAGAAATCGTAGCGACTATGTTGTCATGCTCGAAATGCTGAAAATGTGAGAGTAAACCACTATGATCAACTTTAAACCATACACTTGTATCAAAATTCGAATGATATTCAAAGTTAATGTGCTGAATGGAGTAATTAAGCTACATATACTTTAAGCTGTACCTAATTTCCAAAATACTGAACCGTTATTTGGTTGGCATGAGTACATAAAACATGTATTTAAAAACCAAAGCTATAAATTCTATTATTAAGATAAACTTTCGATCAAAATAATAATGCAAATTTATGGAGATTAGCTTAATTTGTAGATTGTATTCTACAAAGCTCCTTGATAATTTCAAAATACTCTAAAAGTTCTAGTAATTACTCATAACCGATAGAGTTTAGACATACTGGAAGTAAAACAGTTTTCATCAATGGCATTAAATTGTTGTTGGACTATATTACAGATTGATTAAAGTTGTAATTATACCACTTAACTTTAATCTAATGATTTCAGTGGTTAGAATTTCTATGCCTGTTAATGTCGTGGATGGACACTGTTGAAATGTTTCTTACTAAGATAATAATTATTCATATTGAACATGTCGTAATATCTTTCTCTTTGCATATGATATTTCAACAAGAAGTACTTTGATTTTATTATTTTTGATGTAACAAATTTTGTTAATGTTAAAATACATCTATCAAGTTTTAACAAAATCTATTTATCTATCTATTTACATTTAACAAGAAATGAATAATGAACTTTAATGAATATGTTTTTATTGTTAATTATAATAATCAATTGAATGTTAATTCATTAATTATTTACAATCAAACATAAATAGTAAAATCGACAGAATTCTAGAATATATTAAATCTAATTATCCATAGATTTATAGGGAACATATTATTTTTATTATGCGTAAAAAGTAGGAAAATAATTATTTTCTTAATGAAGAGAAAGTAATTAAATTAAGCACTGACCAACTAACGCACTGCTGAGGAGTCTCACAATAGGTCGAAACGACCGTCTAGTGCTTTCATGTTTTCCCATGGTGGTCTAGCTTCAATTGACCCATGATCTCAACTATTAAAATTACTATAATATCCACAAAACCCTTTCTCATACTAACTTATTTTCGTTAAGATTCATTTGGAGTGATTTTTGAGAAAATTATAACAGGAATATTTCAGGGTTTTTTGTTGTTGTTGTTGTTAGGACTATTCAAATCACTTGTATTCATTCAATTAGTCAATATTTAGGTGATTGATTGACCTAATTTCCCATTAAAAAGAAAATTAACAGCAAATATGAAATAACAGTA